TGGTTGCAAACGTCTGTCAACAGCTACCCTTTCTAGCTTCAGACTGAAGACCAGGTGGGCAGAAACAACAAGAATCTCTGGAAATGAACCAGTCAAGGACATACTGCTTCAAAAATAAGTAGAAGAAAATAGTGATGGATCGGAGACCGTCAAACGGAACACGAGTGGGATACGATGAAATGGCTGCCCGAAGGTGACATAGAGGACATCGTGTAGAGAGGAGACGAGACTTTATTAGTAAATATGAGGCCAGCTAAAGAGAATTGAAGAGAACAGGACAAAATGAAGAAGTGTTGCTGAAGTCCTATGCTTGACTCAGAACCAAAGGGAATAACACTAGTAATAATACTGTTTCCGAAACAAACGAAATAACTATGAACGATGTGGAACTTTGCGTATATATCTAAACAGAACAAACCCTTGTAAAGTCTTTTGATTAATCTAAGTGAGAAAAGTCATTTAATGTCACCTACATATATGAATTCAGGTACTCTTATTCACACTACTAGTCTGTAGATTTAACGTGTTACTGACAGAAATAAGAAAGAGAAATTAGCATATGAAACTCGATGAGGGATGATAGCGACACAATCAATATCCACAAGTGATTGTGAAAGGGTTGTTTTCAAATGAGTGATGTGATACCAGTAATTGTTGCTTCATTTCTGTTTATTATTCAAAATATTATGATTTGTGAATCAGAATTAACTGTTCACTGAATATGAGCGAAAATTCTTGTAGCACTGTTATTTTTTCTTTAGATTCTGTACATAATATATTTCTCAAATAAAACATAGCAGAACAGAATTAATTAAATCCATTATAACATTAAGACATAATTCATCACGAAACACTGATCAATACTCATTCGCGGAAATGAATATTTATATATATATATATATATATGTATACGTATATATATGTTTTCATTTTCTCCCCGTTTTTCTCTCTCTCTCTCTGTCTCTCCCTAGTTTATGTCTTCAAAATGAAAAAACGATATCACCTTAAAAAGAAAACCTATAATATTGTTTAGCATTAGGTAAAATGTCTAATGTTAACCTAACTAGAAAAGCCAAATGTACAGTCTATTCACAATCAATCTTAGTGAACAATAAATTTAAGCCTGACTGATCACATATATATATATAGTTTTGTTTTAATTTCAAAACATCTTTAACTCTCTATTACATTCAATATGAGTGATATTTCAACCACAAAACTGGCAACTAATTTTATAAGTTTATAATCCCTGTAAATTAAAAATAAAACACAATGGAAAATACAACAATATTCATATCCTCTCGCTTACAAGAGTACAAGTTTCAATTTGTCTCAGATTTCAATTCATAAAGCTATGGATTACTACAAGAGACAAAAACAGTTTCTTGGTGTTTATTTTATTTTTTTTTTTTACGATTTAATGTCACACTGATAAATCATGGTCTTGTTACACAGTCGAACGAATTTTGTATTTCGTTTCCTTATCGAAGTAATGATAAAAGGTGTATTTTGTGAAATAACCGAGTATAACAAAAACAAAGTAAAAACAGACTTCGTGTACCAGTCACCTACATCAACATTTCGACTATTTTTCTACGTGTTAGGCGAATATTTCTTGTCAGGTGTTATTACTCCTTTGGGTTCATAAGGGAATAAAAGGCTTCATTTCACTATTTTCTGTTCAGTTATTTTTATTTTTGACATTGACGATTGCCAATGTCGGTTGCATTTCTTCCTCACACAGTCTTCTCTATATCATCTTTAAGCCCACGCCAAACCCATCGTTTCTTATTCACATTTCACCCAACGGCCTGCTTGATGTGTGTACTATTTGTACGTCATAAGAACTGCACTTAGAAACCAGTCACCAAAATCATGTAAATATTATCAGTTTAGTTTAATGTGAAAATCTGCTGTACATGGTCCGTCTCACCATTTTTACTAACTTAAAATTGTCGACTAAATAAAGGCGATTTTCTGTTATTGGAATGAATAAAAGTGTTTTAGGAATTCGATAAATCACACCTAAGTCCTGTCAACAGCTGTTTACTCATCGTCTCAACAAACACGTCCAGTGTTTTTTCTTCTAAAATGCTTTAGTAAAACTCATTGATAGCAGGTATTTTACCTTTACGTCGGTGGTATAGCGGTTGGGACGCTCGCCGACCATGCATATGGTCCGGGGTTCGATCCCCGGCCGGAGCACTCCTTTACCTCACTGAGCCAGAAATAATGCTGGTAAAGAGGAAAGGTTGGGCGTGAGGCTAGCAATCCCATCCTGTAAAAATTAAACACTGCTACAGAAACTTCAAGCCACTAGCTTGGAGCCCTACGTTCCACTGGGAACGTGAAGGAAAAATTATTATTATTATTTTACCTTTACATTTATATTTTCAATATCAATCTGCGTTGTCTTAAATAATATGGATAATCTTCGAGAAATGGATTGCATTAGGTGATACCGTAGTTTGAAGCTTTTGCAAATTAATGATAATATAAATATGAGAAGTAGACCTGATTAAGTGTCAACTAAAGGTAGAAGACAGTGTTTTCTGCAGGTAATGGACTATAGTCTTGAACACATAAGCAGACTAAATTTACCAACACACAATTTGTCAAGAAACGACCTGAAAGCATAAGCACTCTCAAGTTTCCAGTTCCTTTAAACAATATAAAGAATATGCAAATGAATTCCACTTTTTGTAAACCTCACTTATCATTATCAATTGCGACAACTGGTGGACAATGGTGACAGGATTTCTTCGCTGTAAATAATATAAGTGAGTGATAAAGGAGATATTTCTAGAATAAGGCAGGATTATTCATTTACATTTGGTTTTTGAAAAGATTCCTATAAAAATCAATTCTGTTATTACTAATCTCTTTCCATCTATATTAGCTGAAATGTTTTCTTTTTAATTAAAATAGTTATACGACTAATGGTTTTTTAAATTTATGTATTGATAAGCTATTTTTTTGGTTTCGATTAAATTCCGTTTCCCTTTTCATCAGTCAGTGTACGACCACACATACACATGCTGGTAGGCAAGTGAAAACATACAGTGTGTACATTATGTTACAAAATATGCCTACATTTAAAAAAATGAAAGATAGAAATTCCACACAGCACTGTATCTTTCGCCCATTGAAATCTTTCTGCCAGTGGCTTTAGTAAGATCTTATTCTTTCAAACAAATTAAAATGCATGTAGTGAAAAACCATTTAGCGTTATACACGGATATTTTGGTTTACTTAGCCTAAACGCAAGGAGGGCGATAGCAGACATAGTGTTTTACAAATCGATGTCAACAAGAGGAGTATTAGAAGTTAACGGGCTTTGAAAAGCTACTGCGTTCAATTTTAGTAATCTCCAGAGTTTCTGTTTGAGTCTACAAACGAAAGGATTGTTCAGAAAATCTTGCTTGAACTAATTAGACTTTTAACTGTTATAATATTGATATTTGAGTCAACTGTTCATGATATATATATATATCTTAGCAAGTGTCATGATTACAGAATGACGCTTTTAACAAAATGAAGTAAATAAGGATGTATATCAGCTTAAATCCAGATTATCTGAACGGGTTTTTCTTCAAGTAACTTGCTAGATGATGTCTAGCAGTGGGATCCAGTGAGTTTCATCATTAGGCATTATACACCAAATAAATTACGTCTTGTCAATTCCTAAACATCCTCCTACCAGAAGCAGACATATCAACAGAGGCTGACCGTTTCGGTCAAATCAATCAACTGCAAACTCATAACTTACTTACAGACAAGCGATGGATTTAATTTAGTGAACAAAAACGAATACATAATTAACTCCTTGAAACAGATATTTTTTTACTGTAGTAGGCTATTATTCTGCAGCTGAATAATAGCATAAAACTCAATAAACAAATTTTGATTCCGTAACTTTTATGCAAATGAAGCCATTGCAGTTGACAGATTAAAGACGTACTATTTGATAGTCTTTACACTGTAAAATCATGTAAAATCAGTAACTAATTAGATAAGTTGAAGTGTCATTGAATTCTAGAAATTTACATTTGAAGTGGCTGAAACTAACCGAATATGATCGGATATTTCCTTTAATAGATAGCCCAGACTATAGATCTGAGGAAAGGCTAGTTTATTCTTGTCGGTATGTCCGAATCGTGTATTCTGAGTATTTTATTCCTTCCAGAAGTTTACATTTTTCATAAATATTAAAAGTGAAATAGTGGACAAAAGTATTTTCAATTTTTGAAAAGTCTTTCTGACCTTTTATTTCCAATAGCAACAGAGCTATCGTAAAGACTTTTGTCCCACTGTCTACAATTATTATTATTATTATTATTAGAAAAAATCTTTTACCTGGTTCCCTGATTTTATCACTCACATAAGTAAACTTGAAATACTTCCTTACAACTCTCAAAATCTCTCTCTCTCAAAATCAATTACTATAAAACTAATTAAACATTTTATATAAGGTCTGTTTTTCTGATTATTAGCAATAAGTTTGGAAGTATCCTTTGTAAAACAGTATACAACAATACAAAAGTTGAAAACACCTCACCTAATAAACTTGGTCAATACGCATTTTAACAGCTTACTTTTTAGTTATAAGCGTAAAATTAAAGAAAGCAACTTAAATGCATTAAAACTACTAACTTCTTCAAAAATTAATTGTAGACTATTATCAGTCTAAAAATTAGGCAACACGAACAATACTCTTTGTCTACAAGTACTCATATAGGTTTAGGGTAGACTGCGCAACACTGTGACGGTAGAACACATGCAATTATCGATCGACGACTTTACAGATGAGTGTCAGGTTAACATAATACTAAGTATGGTATTACACAGCATGAAATGCCTGTCAGTTATCACTTTAAAATCCCTAAAGTATATTTATATATTTATATGAAATGCGAACTTCTCGTTTAAATTAAAGGTATGGATAATAATCCATACATTGTACTAAACTGAAACACTCTCAGTATAACAAGATAACTTACTAGATTAACATGGAACACAGCAATGAATGTCACAAATAAATATGCTCCAGATTGTATAAACATGAAAAAAAAATAAGCAAATAAATAAATATTCTTAGTCTCATAAACATTCCAGCATTTAGCCAATAAGAATTTAAACACATCAATTTAAATGGGATTAACCAATCAAAATATCCCCCTTATTTATGTTTGAATGAGTCAAAAACATAGTAGAATTCAATGTCATTGTATTTGAGGTATGTACAGTATTCAAATTAGAACATGATACAGTGCGTAAAAGAGCATAACAGAGTGTCAGTGAGCACAATCATAAAAAGTATATATATATATATCCAATAATTATAACAATTTTATATGAGAATAGCTAAGCAGAAATGGAGACCTCTACTCTAGGGACCTGTATCTAGTGTAAACAACACACGTTTGCATGCTGTATATATAAAATAATTACTGGCAATAATTGTTTCCCTCAACGTGACAAAATAAAATTCATTTGAAATGGGAGTGTAGTATAGTATTCTTACATTAGATGCAATGAAAGCAAGAATAAATTAACCTTCCACCTTCTCATAACTTCTTTCAGCCTAAATGACTCAGGATAAATAGGTTAGATATACTATACTGAGTGAAAATTTGTTAGTTATACTGACTTCATAACAAAAGTCCTTTATCATAATTATATCAGAAAGTACAATTATCAAAATATTGACTTTTTCACTTGAGACTTAAACGTACATCAATTAGAAATGTGCATAGGTATATTTACGAGAGTGGTACTTTAAAGTAGTGATACTTGAAGACAGTCGTTATTTTCGAACAGTAACAAATGCCGGTGACTGCAAGATCGCCTTACAACAGATTATCATCCAGTGCTTAAAGCAATATCAAAATGTCTAATCATCTTTCACCTACAGTTGCTGCCGTAATATGACATTCAGGTAGAAAACTGAAATCTCGCTAGAATTTCAGTATTGAAAAACATAAGGGAAAAGAATGATAAAAGTTTCAGATCCCAGTTGTGTGTCCGTTGGCTACTACTGTACAGCGTGAAGAACATCAGTTTTTACTGATGTCTAAAACTGGTCTTGGTTTATTCCCTTCGGCTTTAAGTGGAAGACAAGCCTTTAACGACACTTCTCCATTTCACCATGCTATATGCAGCCTTTTCCAACCGCTTTCTGGATTGCCCGTAACCTTCTACTTCCTTCCATCACGATATCCTTCATATCACTCTTGGACGCTCATTTCGTCATTTTCCATTCGGATTCCAATCTAGGGACCAGAGTGTGATGGCATTCAACTGTCTCCTCAGTGTAGGTCCAGTCCATCATCCTTTCATTGTGTATATTTTTTGGAAAAAGGTCCTTGATTATTTCGTCACTACAGCTCCTTTCTGATTAACCCTTCTGACCACCGGGTTTTCAGTACTGATCCAGAGAATGAAGTTGTTGAAGAAGATGTGTAGTAACCTACTGGAAATGATATTGGGGACGCACTGCGGAACCATATAGAAGCAGTGACTTAATGTTAGATTTTGAAAATCCGGATCTGATTGTTTATGACGATGAAAGCAAATATAAGCATTAGGTGTCACATTTACATCACTGTGAATTTTTACTCTGTATTTCAAAATTTTCATATAATAATGAACTTAAATTATTGACTTTTTAACCAATATATCTTCTCATGATTCGGCGTTTCCACTCCAAACCACTTAATGTTTCAGAGTTTAAATCCTTTATCCGTTGACTTATCAGTATTTAATAATGCCTTTTTGGTGAAGTGAAAATACTAGTGTAACAACAGTTCTTCGTAATTGACCATTATCATTATAAACATATTGCTTAGATCGTTCACAGGGAAAAGATTTTCCGAAATTAGCAAAATGTTTTTAATTTCCTCACTACTCCTAATGATACAAAAAATTATCACTAGAAAGAAGATAACTTTAGACACCTGTTTTACACTATAAATGTGTGCCTTTGGTTTGGCAACCAACACAGTTTTGAGCACATAAACGTGATTTATGCATACTAAACAGTTATATTTGCAATTTCCCAAACGTATTCTAACCTGAGCATGGATAAGTAAGTTTCAATAACACATTATACTCAGAAAATGTGTGTTGTGTAGCAAGAGATTCGTGCAGTATCGCCAAGGCATTTACTGTATAAAATTTTCCGGCAAAGACCAACTGAGAAATTCTTGATCAATTCGTTAAAAATCACAGCACGGTTACCAGGAAACGGTAACATGGAACGGTGATTGTGGCACAGTGGTTAGGACGCTCGCCAACCATGCACATTGTCTGGGGTTCGATCTTCGACCGATGCATACCTGATATTAATGATCGGGCTAATAAATTCGGGTTGCCGATATCATATACTGAAAATTCCATACTTGTACCAATATACTGTGTGGAATCAAGCTATTATAAAAAATAAAAAAAATATAATAGCCGTTTTTGATTAAATAAATAACTATTCAAATATTCTATGTATGAGAATTTGACTGGTTTCAAAGTAAATTTTGTTACGGACTTCCAACAGTTGCAGAACCATGGAAAACCAGGTAGCACATGAAGTTTGTTCGTCTTTTGACCTGTAGATGCTGTAAATGATCCCCAGTGGCGTTATGAAAGCGTTTTCAGTCATGCTCCTCAAGCAACGATGAAAGAGATTCACCCACTGACCCCTAGTTTTCCGTGGTTTTCCAAATGAATTTGAGCCACGAAAAAATTTACCTTAAATAAATTATCAATGTAAATCTGCGTACTGAAGAAAACTTCGTTTGCTTTCTTAACCACATAGACTTTATAAAAAGTGTGTTTTATAAAAATTAATACTGATCAAATCTCAGTCAATATTTAGAATCGTTTAGCTATTTATTTTTTTTTATGGTACTTTCTAAATAACAGTTAGAAGTCAAAAAAATTAAAGAATTCACTGACCTAAAGTGATTCAGGTATTACTGCATTGAATTACTGACCTAGATTAGTAAAACTGAAATTAAGCGAAAAAAAAGAATAGAAAATGGACACCATACAGTGTAGGAGATTAATCAAAGAAAAATGCAAGTGAATTAAATAACTTGATGGATAACATTGATAAATCCTGTACCTTAGTTATGTATTCCAAGAGTGATTGGAAAATTTCAATGAATGGAAATCCAGTTTTCAATTTGAACAGTCCAAATAAGTAAAGCAGATTCACGGCTAAAGTTGAAATCTACTTCTGAAACTAACTGAATAAATTACTTTCCTCTCTAGTCAGCCTGTCAGGTTAGATGATCTGCTCACTTAGTATTCCTAGTCTAGGTAGATTCATTCAAGCATTTGACCACTGTCTCACATCTTACCTTCAAACAACGAAATCATTTATGATTCATTCCTTAGTACTTATGTGTAATTTTCGTGAATTATGCAACCAGTTATTCTTAAATACTTGACGCTTAGTATGCTTGAAATATATAATATCAGTGTTTTTGCACTTTTATTTTCAGATTTCCGGTTCGTAAAGATTCCATTAATTTCAATCTATGGCTCCTTATGAAGATTCATTAAAAATAGGACATCAAATGTGAGATTCTTCGCAAGTGACTGTTCTTGCAGTCACCTGTGAAAGGAAAAATACGTTCAGTTTACGAGGTGAACACGCTGACTGAGTAGAACTAAACTAGCCAACTTTTGTCAAATCGCGATATATATACATTCCTTTTTATGTGTAAACGATATGACGTGATAAAATTTTAATATGAATAATACATTTTGAGTATATTCCATCTCAGCATGTTTTGCCTTTCTCACCCTGCTTATGATGGGTTACTTAATGACTAAGCTCCAGCATCGGCTGTCCTACTGAAAGTTACATCAGACAATTTTCCGCTTTTCCACTTACATTTCCAAAATGTCACCAGTCGCCTTAACTACAAATGATATGCTATAACTAATAGCAACAGATCTTATGAAATCATTTGATTCCTTATTTTACTACTGCTTAATGCCTCTACTGTTTGTCTTTCATCTTTATCTAAGTAGGAAATTAAATTACTCCAGGGGAAAATAATGAATCAAAGCTAATTTTCTCAAATAGTACATAATAATAGAGAATATGCCTACATTATATGCCAACTACTTTGTTCCTGTTTACGCTGTACCTTTCAGTATTGCTGATATACTTTATTCACACTCAATACTTATTCATTCACATGCATTTTCACGTGCATTAGTGTGGATTATAGAGAAAAGAAATAAGTTTTTAAAAGTCTGTTGGTAATTCCCATAATTCTACTTCGTGTTTTCATATCCTGCTCATTGTTTCTTTACAATCCTTCGGACAACAGTAGCCTAAGAAAAATAAAAAATAAATTTCTTATTATCTATGAAGGTTAGCTTTTATACTCATCCTATGAGAAAAAAAGTTAACCAACAGAAGACAACAATCATTGGTGATTGCTACATTATGGTTTGGAATAAATTGTATTACCTTGTGAATTAGTAAAGCGCAGATAGGAATTAACGACAGTTACAAGCATTATTTAAGAGTTGTAGAGGTTTAGAGTAAGCACTTATTGTTGTTGACTTCCTTAGGATACTTAATGTAAACTTCGAAATTATTATGATATTCTAACATAATTTCTTCCTGTATCGCCACCAAGAGTCTACTTGCTTGCTGACCACGTAACTTATATATATATATATATATATTGGAGAATTTTTATGGCTGAAGTAGACAATATTGGTGTAGCTGTGTTCTTTGATCTGGATGGTTTATTTGCTAATCTTTCATTACCTTTCCAGATGACATCATCAGAACATGCTTTAATTTTACGTGAACTTCCAGAATTTTCCATAAGTGTATTAGCCATTTCTTATAGTAACGATGAGAATAAACCAACCATGTTGTAAAATTGATTTCAAATTAAAGTATGTCCTAAAGAAATAGTCTAGAAGGATAATCAAAGCTTCGTAACTAAACCATCCAGTTAAGAGGACAACTAAACGAATACTACAAATATTGCAAGTTGAATACAATGGGAATCAAGAACCGGAAAAATGAAAACAGATACTGACTAGCGAAAAATGCTTTTGGTTGTAGGATTTCATCGCGATCTGAC